ATTAGGGAGAATTTACTGTAGTGTTGAAACATTGTTCAAAGCTATTCCTCTGTCTCTCTTTGGACAACAAAACAGGGAGAATAGTCGGATTTTTACCTAGGTGAACCTAATCGTTGTTAATTAGTGCAACTAGTAACACTGTCAGTATTTCTGCTTTTCAAGATATACGTAAATTACAACCCAAAGCGTAATTCGTAATGAATTGTTATTTTTAGAGACACTGTAAATGTTGTCCTTTCTCAAGGTATATGGTACTGATACGTACAACCTAAATACTGTTTTAAATTAGGTTACTAATGTGTGTGTGTGTGTGTGTTGTACTAGTTTTTAATTTATCTTTAAATAAGAAATTTTCGACAAGCAAAAGTTTAACCCTAGGAAGCTTAAGATATTAAAGTCATTTTCTATCCATGTAAGAAAATGTGCTATAAATATTATTTTTTCTGTATAAGGTATATTTATTTACACAATGCTGTTAAACAATAAACTTGGGTGCCTTCACAAATAAAATATGAAAGATATAAGATAAAATATAAAAGAACATTGTTAAAACAATAATATATATATATATATATATATATATATATATATATATATATATATATATATATATATATATTATACTTTAATAAATCAAACATATTTTTTTATTTAGCTTTCGTACAAAGATAAATCATTATATCAAATATTTACAAATCGATATTCGATTTTCTGCTTTTCATTGACATATTCGATACCAATTCGATTTAGACGACTGTTATTTTCTTATTTCAATCTTCTTATTTCTGTATTTTGTTACAAGGTCTAAATAAAGCTAAACTCGGAAAATGATCAGTATTAATTTAACAAAATAATATAACAATTAATAGTATAATATAAAATAATATAATATAATAATTAAAATAACAGACTAAACAATATCTGGTAATTGTTCGAGTTGTGTTACAGTGATCGTAAGAATTCTAGAACAGAGAGAAAATTCTGTCTTGTTCTACGGTTTATTTCTAAAATAAAAGAGAATCGGATATGCGAGCGACCGCGACCAAAGAAGACCCGACAGATTACGCTATCTGGCGGGATGCTGTGCAAGCACGGGTTTGCGAACGGAGCAATGGCGTAGGCGGCGATCCATGTGATAAATTAATTTTTATAGCTTCGTGGGTGGCGGCTCTTTCTATTGGTCGCTGATCGGGCGCCTCCCACTTCGAACGATGTAACCTTCTCCTGGTTTATTCCACTCAGCTGTGATACCACGATATATACCATTTGTCTCGTTTTCAATGAGCTGGCAAGGGAACGGCGGATGGGTGTAATTGAAATACATTCGCGGATCTCCGATGCTCAACAAAGGCGCAGCCAGCACGATGCGATTTTTAATAATGCATCGCCGTAACGTCGCCTGCGTTTTACAACGCTACTCTGCTCGATGAACACTCCAACATAATTACATAAGGCTCGAAGCAACACGGATCTCGGGATAGCTTTCGTCTTTTTACAGTAAAACAGTTATTGCGTCGCTCGGAAATTTCGTATTGGGCATTCGCAATCTTATCTAAATACGACTGCACTTTTAATGTTGATCAATTGTCTGCAAAGAACATTTTAGTATTCTTACAGATCGCATGTAAAAACATATTTCTGTAACAGCGAGAAATAGATGTCGCTTGACCGAGCGTTCAATTCACCGACGACATCTCCCGTGCAGGCGTTGATGTCTCCGCGGAAACACAGCGATATCGAACATTTGCAACGATCGTTCACGAAATATATGACACGGTATAATAAGGATCGTCTTACGGAAGATTCGATCGGGCTAAACATTTAGCAAAATTATATTTTAAAATTTTCGCGCGCAATTAATCCAGCGAACGGTATCGTCGCGTACGATACAATCTTTCATTCGACGTTTCTTCCACCGATTCGAGAAAAATGCGATAGAATCGATCGAATTATTAAAAAAAGCTTTTACGTTCGATTACACCGTTCGAACCGTTAATCGCCGATTCCCAGTAACTCAAAGTTACAAACACCCTTTTCCAGATAATTCCGTTGCACGTTCATTATTTGCAATTTTATCGCCGCGGAAATTCGCGTAAAAGTGCGAAAGGCTAGGAACGAGGCAGTAAACGAGGTTTTGCCCGATCACAATCGCGTCCGCGGCGAGACGTCGCGCGGTCCGCCGCGGCGGTTTCTGCTGCGGGCTCGTGCTCGGCGAGCGGCGACGCAAGAAAAAGGCCTTGGCCAATAAAATATCGTGATAAACGACACGGCAGCGCTTTCCACGATTACGTTTACGAGTCGGAGGGCTGCTATACTTACGCGAATCACCGGCGGGGAAGCGTGTCCGTCGCCGCGGCGAGTTTTATAGTGGGCCGCTTTTCCGCACGTGCTTCGGCATCGACGCTAGGGAAATCGGCGGCGTCGCTCGAAACGGCTCATTAAATATAGATGGCTATCCGGATACTTACGCCGGCACACACCGACCCCGGGAAAATGTACTTCGGCAGAGTTTTATGAACCGTCGACTAGTTACAAAGGTTACGAAATGTTTTGCGTCTCGTGGAAAGTTTATAATTTTCATCGCCGGCCGTGTTTCGCGCGGCCCCGCGAGGGTTCGACCCGCCGGTGGCCGGATCCCGCAATCAATACGGTACAAACGACGTATACGCGTGTCAACCGTTTTTATTGGGGAAATTTGTCACTGTACCGCGCTTCGCGGATTATTCGAACCGCGAAAAAGTCGCCGCGCGGAATAAACTACCGTGGGCCGGCTGCCGCACGAAAGAAAACTCGCGGATTATCGTGTAACGACGATCTTGTACTTATGTATCAGATAACGAAAACATTAATACCGAATCGAGGATGAAGCTAGCGTTGACAAAAAGCAGTCGGAGGACATGCGTCGGGACTTAAGTTCCAGTCGCATTTGTCGCCGGAGATCCTCCGCCGATTTGTGGTTTTAAGAGAAAGTCGAAAGAAGGAAGTTACGTGCAGGGAATATTAATATAGGCGAATATTTGAGGATATATCTGCTTCTGCTATCACGTCCCCGATCCGATATTTCAATGATAATACGGCACAGTTGAAGAACCTACGTTGGCCTCTGCTGCTCGCACGTTTCCCACCAAAATTGAACATTACAATTTTTTCTATTCATTTGTCCCACGATACTGATTGGCCACCAACGTGCGCGTATTAACCGTGAATTAAAATAACAGCTACTTTTCGCCAATTAATGAACCGAGTTTGGTTTCGGTTCCTAAGAACAGCCACAGAAAATTTAGGCCTCGCCCAAAGATGCCGATGAGACACCCGGGGTGCTCGAGTTCATCGCGTGTCGATGTTGAGATTGTCGGTACCAATATCGACGAACCAGTCATCTCGGCGTGCCGATCGTCAGGATGGAGGCGCGTTCTCGCTCGAGCAGGTTGCGGGTACCAAGCGAAACGGAGAGCGTATCCTGGGATCGCTCGCGCGACCACGCACACTGTGCACACGAAAAGGGAGACGAAGACGCGCTTACGCCAGAGATGAATGCTGCTTGCGGGGAGAGATCGACAAGCTCGAGCGAAGGCCAGGGGAGGTAGGCGAAGAAGAAGTTGCGGAGGAGGAAGAGGACCGCGACGACGAAGACGAAGACGAAGACGACGACGACGAAGAAGAAGAAGAAGAAGAAGAGGAGGAGGAGGAGGAGGAGGATGAAGCCGAGAAGAAGAAAGGAGGCTGGGAGAAGCCGAGGAAGAGGAAGAAGAGGATCCTCGGAGCGAGAAGGAGAGGGATCGAGGTGGGGGCAGGAGAGAGAGATCGAGAGAAGGTCGCGGTAGTCTTTCTCGGTCGACTAGGTAAGATAAGGACAAGGCGGACAAACGGACTGACGAAGGTGGCCGAGGTAGGGGATACTCAGTCTCGCGGCCACGTGCTACACGAGCGCACGCCCCGAGCCGGCCGGTGGTCCAGCCACGTCTCCGTCCTCTTCTTCTTCGTCCCGTTTTATCCCACGCTTCCCGGTTCCTCCTTCTCCCTTCCATTCTTCTTTTATACACCGACCCGTGTTCCTCTCTCCGCTTCCTTTTTTTTTCGCTCTCTCTTCCTCTCCTCTTCTTTTCGTATCCGCGCTTCCGACCGTCCGATTCCCACCCGGCCGTGTTCTTCGCGCGATTCCGCCGCGCGCCGCGCCGCACCGAGCGGATTCCGTGGACGCCGCTCGAGCGCGTCTCGCGGCCCGGGAAATCGCGGGTACGCGGCGCTCCGCTCGAAACGACCGGCTCGCCGAACAACAGTTTTCAAAGGCCAAACGACACACACGAGCGCTCGCATGCTGCCCGGAGGAGCGGAGGCGAATCTCGCGAATCTGCTGCCGTCGTCGTCATTCCCTCCGGATCTGACGCGCGATCGTTCGAACCACGATGTTTACCGTCGTCGAGGATCACGCGTGAACGACTGGTTCCTGTGTCCCGAAGCGCAAAGTGTCCTGGCTCGACCACGAAGACGGCGGTCGACGTAGGGAACCCATCGGCAGATCCTTGTTTCTAGATGACGATGACACGCACGAAGTGGACCAGTTCGGTACAGCTGAAAGAAACTGGACTCTGTACGATTAATAACGGCACGCCTGTTCCACGCAGATGATTAAATACTAAAGTTGATCCAGAGTGTTGCACGTATCCAGTGATCGAAACGCATTGTGCGCCGATTGGTGTCTGTTCTTGAAGGAGTTTCCGGTCACCGTGAGCAGACTCGACGCAGTGATCTTCGGAAGCATTTAGGGCTTTCATGGATAATTCGAGTTCGTTTCGGAGTGTGAGGGAGTGTTGTACAGTGTGAATTCAATAGGAATGATCGATGCGCTGAATTTATTCGAGGAAGATGTCAGCGGCCGGGGGACTTCGATTATCGTCTAATCATAAAAGGTAAATAGAGTTTGTTGCTCGGCGAAGCGCGACAGCTTCGCGCATGAACGTTCAACGAACGAAATGGTTGCTTTTACGAATTCGATTCAGAGGCTGGGGAAAACTTGAACACCGCGTTTCCCGGTCCCCATTTTCCATCGTTTACCATTGGTACGCACGTCTCGGAGTCCAGAATCTGTAACTGTGTCAGCCACTCGATGTCTAATCCAAAGGACAAGTAGAGTTCGCGCGACGCCGATGAGGATTCTCGCGGATCGTCGAACAACGTGATTCGGAACAGCGTGGCTTCATTGCGTGTTTAACGAGGCTACTATAGCCGCTGGCTACGCAGTCGCACAAAAAACCAATTCGAATTTCTCTCTCTCTCTCTCTCTCTCTCTCTCTCTCTGTGTCTCCCTCTCTCTCTCTCTCTCTCTCTCTCTCTCTCTCTCTCTCTCTCTCTGACCGTCTCTCTTTCGCACCGATTCGTGGCGCCGACGATTAATTTGTCACGACGTCCGGGCACAACAATTTCAACTGTCTGCAGTCGGTGCCATGATATCCGTGTGACGTGCCGCTCACAACCGGTTCATTAATGCTGCAGCCGCTCGTCACTCATTGGCTGCCACGGGTTGCCAGCGATCGTGATGTTTGCGATAGAAAAAAAAAGGAGGAGAGACGATCGAAAAAGGGTGGGAGAAAAAGAAGGGAAGAACACCGATACAAGCCGCGGCCGCGGCGATACTTTTGACGCGAGTGTTTCACCTTTCAATCATTATTATTGCGAACGCGCCGATCGCCCGGGAGGACGGCCAGGCACCGGCCGAACGAGTTGACGGACAATTAGGATATTAATGATGCGTGACGGCCTAGGAAAGTCGAAAAAAAGGCGCAGAATGCTCGCGACTCGGCAGCATGCGCGTACACGCGATTCCTTCGCCAGGCCGGTGCTTGGCATTGTGTCCCGGCGCACAATTGGCCGGATATTTTTCGAGTGAAATCGAACGGCGTCGGGAACAGTAGGATGATTGCCTCGAGTATTTGCTTCAAATATTTGCTCGGCCATTGGTCCGGCTACGGAGAAACCTAATTTACTACGGAAGCGAGAGCCCGTTTATTAGATTCCTCGCCGGTCGCGCGTTTCGATTTGGCGTGTAACTCGCGTTTCAACAGTCGTAACATGCCCCGAAACGTAACAGCTGATTTTTAAATACGCGTGCCATTTGCGCGGTCGATTCCGAATTTGTACGCTTCTTTTCGCTCGCCGGAGCTAATTCTACGAACGTGCGAAAGCCGAGCGTGTGCCACAGAATTCTCGTCCTCGTCTTTTCTTTTTCTTTTTCCTTTTTCTTTTTCGTGTATCATAGTTCGCCATTGTCGTCGCGAGAAGAGCCTGTTCCATGAGAGAATCCCTCTCGAACCTGAAGTTTCAATTCCACGGTGGTGTTCGGGCTGGCGGCGTGCGGGCGGAATAACTCGCTGTCGACAGGGCTCCGTCGTCTTCAGTTTCTATGTAGGATACAAGGTGCGTGCCGCTAATCCAGTCTTCTGAAGAGTGACGCGATGTATTACGTTTGCATACACGCGGTATAACGCGCGCGCTGGTAAAAGAGCGATTATTTCAAGGACTGCAAACTTGTTGCGGCCGCGCATCGTTGCCGTACCGGGCGCCTTCTCTCCGTTTTCTCGGCGGTTTCGCGGCCGGTCGTCTTGAAAATATCAACGAGGGAATAATCGTGTCCGTAGTAAGCGCGTTCATTCGTCTTCCCTCCGTTTCTTTTTTACGCCCCTCCCACCGGCGCCGCTTGTTCTCGAATGCCGCGACAGCTTCCGACGACAATCGATTCTCGCGTCCTCGGGGCCGTCGGGAATATTAATTGCAGAATTTCGAGAATGACGGAAGAATCCTGTCCGCGTTTGATTTCCCCGAGAGGCGTGTCAGCCGATCCAGCCAATTAGCCGTTTACGACTCAATCGCGGCCCCGTCTAATGGAACTTATCGGTTCGAAAGCTAGTTTTCGGCGCGAAAACTCTCTAGCCGTTCACGGCGCGTTGCGTAAGCCGCCCGTAATAGCGATTCGATAATGAATATTAATACCGTAATTGCGGCGAAATTTTTCGGCGAACCGGTACCGTCTGGCGGCCGGGCGGTTTCTTCATCCGCAGGTCCCTCGCCGGACTCCGGGAGCCTTTCTTGCGGGATTTTTAGAGTGTGTCGAACTGTTCGCTACGGTAATAGATAGCCGTGAGTTTATCTGAGCAGTTTAATACCGAAATTAATTCCCAACGGGACCCACAGTCGACCATTATCGAGTCAACCGCCTTTTAAGAGTCTCTTAAGAGTCTCTCGTTTCACTGTTACCGAGTTAAGATAGCGCGCAGGATCTTTTCTTCTTTCTTTCTCGCGGTCCTGTCGGAGAGCGATCTTGTTCTCTTGACGTTCGCGGTCCTGGAAGCTTCGACGTTCGACTTCGTCTTACGTTTCCCACACGGATGAGACGCGTTAGCCTGCAGGAACGGCGATTTATAGGATCCGCGGCGAGCGAACGATACATTCAGCTCCGAACCGGTCTTCCGCGGTACACGGGTCTTAATTAATTTGTCATTATTTAAGGAAGATATCCCGCGATAAAATTTACCGTCGTCACGGCGACGCGAGGCTCCTCGTATTTCTCGCTTGTCGGTCATCCTTCAAACGGATCGATACCCACCGGACGAGCGAACAAGTGGAACCTGCCGAAGACAGAAAAAAAGGAGAACGCTCTCCGTCCCGGGTCATTCGTCATTTGACGTTTCCTCGGACTCCGTCGTGGATATCGCGATCGGTTCAAATAAACGAGCACCAGTTTCCTTATGTTCCGCATACAATTATTCGCGATATCTTGCGGTAGGAGACATTGATTTATCAGTGATCGAAGGAACTCGTTTCAAAATATATTGGGCTGTCTGATAGGTTCGTTACGTTTTCAGAAAACAGCGCAGCCGAATAACGTTTCCGGAAACATCGAGCACGCGCAACGTCGACGGTATTTCTTGGCCTACATTTAATTAACGAGTAAAGAGTCTTCGAAAAGTCTTGTACACGTATTTGAAAGAAACACATCGATACGCAATCTTGCAGAATTCTGGAAATGGACGAACTTTTAATTTCGATTTTCTCGTCGGGCGCAGTAATTACTCCCTAATTCGTGCTCAGATTGCGCACAAAAGTGGACAATTTGGGAGGAGATTACGATTATTCAAGCCTCGCGTCTCGTTTTCGTAGTCACCGATTGTCAACAACTACACCGCGAATTAGGCAGAAATTACTGTAATTTATCTTCCGCTCAGATTTCTGGGAAATTTTCGCTAGCGAGCAGTGCTCGGCGATAACTCTCCAGGGCCGTAATTCGTTCGTGTGAAACAATTTCGCGTGGCGGACAGTTTCGAACAAAATGGTGGCGTGCGAGGGCGGCGCTTGTTGTTTTTAACCCGTCAAAAACGGAACCTCGTTAATCGGAAGCGGACACGTTTACACGCGTCGTGGTTCACCAGGCGTACACGGGTTCGGTTCCCGCGCGCGGATGAAATTAATACGTGGTCGGCGCCGTAATTAGCGCTCGTATTTATGCGCCTCTTGCGAGGCGGGCTCCGTTAACATGGTAATGGCGTTACACCGCTGTAAACACGACATGTTATCTCGACTGATCCCAGCGAGATTCGCGCAAGAAATGGCGGATCCGAACGCTTCGGTTTTTCGGCCGGTGGGGGAGGGGGTAGCGGGGACGTGTCTTCGTTCGGCGCAAAAACAACTGAAATTCTTGCGCCGGCTAATTAATTTCCGCAGAAGTCCTTTGGAAGCATGTGATTAGAGGTTAATTTGGAACGGGAACTTCGTCTTTGCTTTCTAGAAAAACGAACGGAATTTTCTTGATAGAATTCGTTGGAAATTGACATGTGTTTTCGCGATTTTAATAGTGGGAACGCTTCGGCGAATGTCGAATAGGATATTCACTTTGAATTTCGACGACATTCTCTGTTTAGTCTTCCTCTTCGAGAGGTTTATTTTATTTCATTTATTGTTAGAAAACTGCGGGCAAAAATGAGTAGATGTATCACAAAGATAATAAATTTTAGTTTACCTCCTGGTTATTAGAAATTGGTTAAGAAATTTTCATTTTGCATAAAAGTCTAATTAGTCCTCAGTGTAACTACCGTGTGCTGCTTTATAACGACGACGACTTTATTCGACTTTCCGACATTTTTATCATTATTTATTATTATTTTTATTATTTATTGATTTATTTATTATTATAATGCATGCTTCAATCATTCCCTATGAAAGATTCTCTCTTTTATAATTTTATAATTATAGGGTTTTTTGTAGAGTTTTTTACTTTAGAGTTTAATTATAGAGTTTTTTTACTTTAGAGTTTAATTACAGAGTTTTTTACTTTAGAATTTCTATAATTTTAAACGAAAACGGTGAAACAGGTCAGTTTGACCAGCAGATCCAGCGCCAACAATGCAGTTTTACCTTACGCTGTAGCATAATCGATTCCAGTACCGATAGATTGATATTCAGTGCAACGAATTATATGACAATTAAACTATATACCTGCTCCGCAAAAAGTGGACCAGATGGTAGCCAGCGCAGCCTTGTTTTCCACAATGACGTATTCAGACTTTATCTGTAAAATGAGAGCTCCTAAGCAATTACAGTAAATTCTCTTCAATTGTCCCACAGATTACAAACACAAATTAAATTTGGGAAAAGGAGATAGTTTTTAGATAGTTTTTAAATAATTTTTATAGTCGCCGATTGTCAATAACTATATAGACGAGCCGCAAGGCTCGAATAACCGTATCACCTCCCAAATGATCAATTTTTCTTTACAAGCTGAAGGACAATTGGAGAGAATTGAAACCTGTTATGGGCCATAACGCGATCATAACGAAACGACGAAACGAATGATTTCCAAAGTATTCGAGCCCCTGTTCGTGCTTCCAGTTCACACGGGATCCGGTAAGGAGCGAGGAGGAGGCCGGTGGTCCCGGTTTCACCGTGATCCAGTGAATCCGTGGCAGCCGACGAAATTTGGCAACGGTTCCGGAGGTTGTTGGACACGCGCGAAAATGTCGGCCCGCGGCATCGGGCACGGAACAGACGGCCCGAAGGCCCGGCGCGAACCGTTTACTCCGAGAGATTAAAGAACATCGAATGGACGTGGGCGATTTGTCGAGCTCGGCAGGATTGGCTGGGAGCGGATCCATCCCTGGTGCAACGGGTGTTGGTATCATTACAAGTACGACATCCGCCACCGCAGGGTGGTGGACGCCTACGTCGACGATCGCCTCGGCAGCGGCCAACACCGACGTGGTGAGTTCCTCTTCTTGGTCTTTTTACTATCGACACGATGCTTCAGCCTTCTCGCCGAATTTCACCGGGACCCGCGAACAACTTCATCGATTATTTTATCGAATTCTTTTTACCGCGAGGTTGACGCAGGAACCTGGATCAAGTAGTACAGGCTAGAGAAGTTGAGGGATTTTTGAGATTTCTCGATTCGTAAGCTAGGAAATGATTCTCTTGTTGGGATACAGTAATGTCTCTCTAATTGACGCTCGGATTGTCCACAAAAATGGACAATTTAGGGAGAGGAGATACGATTATTCGATTCTCGCGGTTCATATTTATAGATACGAATTGTCAACAACTATAAAAACGCGTTGCAAGGCTCGAATAATCGTATCTCCTCTTCCAAAATTGTCCATTTTCGTGCACAATCTGAGCGTCAGTTAGGGAGACATTACTGTAATTTGTCCAGTGTTCGAGGTATAGGAATATTTTCGTCGGAATAAATGCAGCTGGAATGGATGCATGGAAACATTTTTGTTGAATCGAGCCGTTGTAATCGTGTAAGTCGATGTAAGCCGAGGAAAAAGTTCATTTGTGGATAACGAAGGATGAATTAAAGATTCTGTAAAATGCAATAACATACAAAATTGTTACAGCTCTTCGTGTGAGCCACTTTCAAGCTTTAACTTAAAATAATAAGAAGTCAAATAAAATATGGAATTAAATATGATCTAATAATATTTTACTTTAAACGGTTCAATTGTCGCAGGAGCAAAATAGTGGGCGCTCTGTACTCTACACTCTTCGCAATTCGCGAAAACAGATCGAACGAGCGATATTCTCAATTGTTATAACTTCATTGTTCCAGTCAAACTGGAAAACCGCTGATTTACAGATTGTTGGACACCGCGTTCCGCAATGTTTGCCGAAGTGAGAAAATGTCAGAATCGGATGATTTATTTCCTTAAGCCGAGCTGTCGTACCGCACGTTGGAAATTAGACAATAGAACACATTCGAGGAAAGATATTTTTTTTATAAGTTTACACACGAAAGTCTATTTTTAGGACCCGCCTTATCGGTCTTGACAAAAGGGTATTATTCAAAGTGTACGTGCTAAATGTCACCAACGCGTCGAGCGGCCGAAGATTATTCTTGCCTCGGTTACGGCACAGAATATCTATGTTTATGCAAGACGTAATATTATTTCGCGTGGACCGTTAAAACTCCCGCGGCTAGTTCGAACGAATTGGACGAGTTATTTTTGCTCGATCGGAGTGCTTCGATCCTCGAGTGTTATGGTAGGTTGAGAATCATCGGGTGAACGGGGCGCTCGTTCGCTCTCGAAAACGGTAAAAAGGTCCTTTTCTTGCCTTCTCCCGGCCAGGCAAGAACCGTCGGTGATTCGGTTGCGAGACCGTGTTCCTATTAAAACCTAGTTAGCTAGTCATTACCGGCGAACCAGGCTGCGGCCTCCGCGGATCGCGACGATCAAATGAGAAAGGATGACCGAACGGGAAAGGTAAATCGTGGACGAGAGAGCGTGCGGATTCACCGGAGATGTTATTCGATTCCCCGGCGCAAGAAGGGTGTATCGATTCTAGTTTGCGATTTCGTAACGAAAGTAATCGTCGATGTAAGGGGCGTTCGCCGGCCGACGGAATCATGTTACGTCAGAACGCGAACCTTTCGCATTATATATCGCGTATTATCCAAATAATGCGCGATCGGATCGGAGCAGTCTTCGCCGCACCCTTTGGGCACTGGCTTCTTCGAAGTTGGTTCAAACGATTCCGGCATTATCGAGAATTCGTTAGAAGAACTAGAATAACAGCCGATGCGTAGAAATGGTTTCGAGAATATCGTTCTTCTTTCTAAAAGCAAACTTTGATTCTCAGCTTTCGATTGTCTTTTCGAAGATTGCTTTCGTCGATTACGCTCACCATCGCCTAAACATAATTAGAAATAAGATTGCTCGATTTCAACGTTGAACGAGACGCTTTAAAGGGTTCGACGAGGACGCGGACTTCAGAAAAATTATAGCCTCAAGGGTTGAAGACCACAACGTCGTCGCGCGGGCGATTGGGTTCTGGATTGCCGCGGAACGTTGCTGCTCGGTTTTAATTGTTCGCAGAAAAATCGTCGGGTCAACGGGTTAAATCGTCGCTTCGCCGTCGGGCCTGTTTAAAAAAAAATATTGGCAGACAGTGGTAAAACCGGGCTGCGGCGTTTGTAAAGGCGAATCATCGGCCGTGTAACGCGAGGAAAAAGATGCCCGGTTGGCACGGTACTTTCATTTCTTCGTCGAGCGCCATTCGTCATCGGCATTACCTTCGCGCGTTACTTAATGAGACGCGTCTCCGCGGTTGCGGGCGTGCGATTAAGAGGCCCAAGAAGGGTCGAATCGCGGCTGCTGAACGCAACGGAACGCGATAGGTTGCACGGTGTCGATGGGAGAAAGAAAGCGGCGACGGGAGAAAGAGAGAGAGAGAGAGAGAGAGAGAGTAAGTAAGAGAGAGAGAGATAGAGTAAGTAAGAGAGAGAGAGAGAGATCCATCGGGACACCGGGGACCATTATTTAGTTCCGTTCGAGTGCAGAGGATTAGAACCGAGGTGACACGGCCGCGTCATCTGTTGGACGTTTAACCTTTTTTACCTTCCACCGGACTAAGCTTTTGCCGGCGTTCCTAAGCAAGAAGCCATTGCCCGTCTCACCCAGATACACTGGGACTGCGCGAACGGAGAATCGTTCTTTGTTCGCTTCGTTTTGCATTTTCCTAACCCGCGTCAGTCGCTTGCGTCGATTTCACACGTTGTTGCATGCGCGTACGGGTCGCACCAAAATAATTTCTCCAACCTGAAATAATTTTTAATTCTCATTTTTACGACTGCATCGGTCTCTCGAAGTTCGATTGATATGGTCAAAAATCAATTCAGCGGATAGGTGATTTGCAAATGGCAAAAAATGTGTCGAATTGGTAGGTCGCAGCTAGAGTTGTGCTAATTTGATTACATTGCATTTTAATTGCACAGTGATTCAACTACTACGTTGTAATTCGATAACATAATTCAAATCTTTCAGTCAATTAAATTGCTAATTACTGCAAATAACGAGTGTAATTCGAATACAATGTAACTGAAATACATTTCTTCAAATCACGATTTATTTCTGTTAAAACATTATGAATTTATAAATAATAGTATTCTTCTGTTTGAAATCTTTACATGGATTCTCCAATCTCTTATTATCTATTCATTTATTATTTTTTCATCGTGATTAATGTAATTCATTTACTTGGTATTTTGTGATTGTACTTCAATTGCAATTACTTATCACATTGTAATTTAATTGAACGGTGAATTACAGTATGATTGGATTATAATGTGATCGAATTACTTTCTAATTATAATACGTTGATCGAGATTCAATTGTAAATCGATTTACAAAACTGTGGTCGTAGCTCCCGCATCGTCGTTTTGCACCATTTTCGGAGCAACAATTGCCTTGGTCACTCTAAACTCTATCGAAACGCGCGCGCATCAAGAGCCCTCGTACATTAATTCGTTGTTTTCAAACGCCTGTCAACTATGAAACGCTTGTTCAACATTCTGTAAATCAACGCGTGATTCTTTCTTTTTTTCAGGAAAGCGCTAAAATGTAATGTTAAGTCCATTACTTAGCGCCCACTGGTTAGAAAAATAAATAACCTTGCGCCTGGGAGCGGAGAAGTTTCATTCGTCTCTTTGAAATTGAAAAGTTTGCTTTACCTACTTCTGGTCCCCACAACTTCTGTTTCATCATTGTGAGAATTAAGTAGGGCGAACGGGGAGCGGACGAAGCGTCCAGCAAATGGTAATGGAATATAAACATCGGTCCGCTGACAAATTGCGGGCTACATCGAAGATCCTTCTTCCACGGCTGGAATTCGAACGTTGAGACGATATTACGTCTTAAACAAACATACAATCAAATACGCATGTTAATGACTGTCGATCGACTCGCGGCCGTATTGCGCTCGATCCGTGCCATGGTATCCGCCACGTTGCGCGATATCGACGGGACTTCCCATCATTCACGGGATCCATTCGGCCGATCGCCTATAAATCATGCAAAATCATCGATATTTGTTTTCGGTTTCCACGGCACGGTATAAAGTCCGGCGGCGTTTTAATCGTTTCGGTGTTGCGAGACGCGAGAGAATCCGCTTGGCATATGCGACGTTACGAGGAGCTTATTAAGTGCTCGATGATTAATCCGACGTTACTAAACGCCTCCCGCGATCGTCGCTGAAATAAATAGCGTTTGCGGCGGGAACACAGTTGCCGCGGTCGGGTGGGGATATTTTTGTTGTCGGTGCGATCGGACAAGAAACCGTCTTCCGTGATTGGCACGTATTTGAGAACGATCCCCGGCACTGCAGCATTCTGAGCGCTTTCGGTTTCTTAGCTGAAGCGTAACCACACGTCGCGTCTTTTTGTTGCAGATGAATCAGCTGTGCAGGGTCTGCGGGGAGCCGGCCGCGGGTTTTCACTTCGGAGCCTTCACGTGCGAAGGTTGCAAGGTCAGTAGCCATCGAGCACGTTGCTTGCTTCCTTTCGCCACGCTTGCGACAAAAACTGATTAATTTAATAATCGTTTACTTGCTCCGTCTGCTCGATGACTGGCTAGCTAAATGCTAGAGATTCGGTAGCCGAGCAACGATCCGATTCATCTTCAGCGTTGCGCGCAAGGAAGAGTCGTGCAGCGCGGGGTCACTGCGAGTTCGGTTCTTTGCGAACGGCGTTACTCATCGATTCATGGTCATTTTACGCGTTAAGCGAAACAAACATCGAAACAATCGAAACAGTCCGTCGACATTGTCCATCGACGTTCGCGCGATCGACGGCAGAAACGGCAATTCATTTCGACCAGCACAGCACGACTCTGCCCTAAGCGTAACATTTAGGAGAACGAGTGTATTATCGCATGCTCGTGGACTGCGGATGCTCGTGGGCTGCAAGATAAAAAAATCGTTCGCATCGATTCTTTCCAGTTCCCTTAACTGTTTGAAGTCGCAGCTACCAATTGCCGCCGCGGCAAATTGCCTAGAATCCGCAGTCTACTTGCGCAAATCTAATCAATCGGTAACCAGCTTAAACTCCGGCGGATCGATGATCCCGTGACCCCGGCGAATCACACCCGCCTGTTTTCTGCCCCGCAGTCGTTCTTCGGCCGCACCTACAACAATCCCAGCAGCATCAACGAATGCAAGAACAACGGTGTGTGCGTGATCAATAAGAAGAACCGCACCGCGTGCAAGGCGTGCCGGCTGCATAAGTGCCTGAATGTGGGCATGTCGAAGTCGGGCTCCCGGTACGGTCGTCGCTCGAACTGGTTCAAGATCCATTGCCTGCTCCAGGAGCAGTCGCACCAGGCGCAGGCGCGCCTGATCAAGGATCCGAAGTCCATCTACGAGAAGGCGTTCGGCTCGCTGGACGTGGCGAACAATAACAATAACAATAACGAGAACGCGGGCACGACCAGCTCGACGAACGTAGTCGGCATGGTTACCACGACGACCACCACAGCGAACAGTTACCATCACCTTCATCATCAACAGGATAGGTTTCCGAAGCGGGACGAGTCGGTGCTCAGGCTGCAGGAGCTCCCTACGCAATTAAGAGCGCCGGACATACCGACGAGGCCCGGCCAGGACCCGCTGCTGAGGCCGGTGGACCTGGTGCGGGCACCCCACGAGTTGCTCAGGCCGGAGGTGTCCAGGTTCCCCATATGGCGGGGGCCGCCGTTCTTCCATCCGGCCCTGACGCACATGCAGCTACTGAGCGGACCGTTCTTCCCGTTCCAGCAGCGATTCATTGTCCCTTACGTGAACCAGGTCGGCGCGTCCCAGATGGTCACGAGTCTGAGCAGTTCCTCGAGCGACAGCGTCAGTCCTCGGTCGACGCCGTCCCCGAAGAAGGACGAGGAGAACAGAAGCGGCCGGGACGAGTGCAAGGATGACGAGGGCTGCCAGAGGAGCCAGATGGAGGTCGCGTACGACAAGACCCTGGCGTTCCTGCGGTCGCTGGGCCCGGAGCAGGACGAGCCCATCGACCTGAGCACGAAGGGCGACCCCGCGAAGAAGGAGGGGGTCGACGCGGCCAGCTCGGAGGAGGAGAGGTCGATGGACAGCGAGGACAACGAGCTCCTCCAGGACACGGGGCCGCCGCTCGATCTCACCAGGAAGCAGGATTGTGCAAAACCGTCCGAGTCTCGGGAACCCGAAGTTCGGGACGGGTCGGATAGAGTCGGGCGGGATCGGGCGGGATCCCGATACTCTCTTTATATCGAGGTGCCGAAACGTTCGAGATCCCGAGAATGGACTCGGGACTTGGGACACGGCGCGTATGAGCGGACAATGTAATTTCGGGTTGCGTCGGCGAACATCGGGCACCGCCGGGCATCATAGGGTACTATCGGGTACCGTCGGGCACCATCCGGTACCATCGGGCATCGTCGGGCACCGTCGGTTCGGGAGCCCGATAAAGGAACACGTATTGAAAATTGAAACTATACTTCGCGTACCTTTTAGTCCTTCGTGTAAAGTTATTGTAGTTAAAATAAAACGGCAGAAATGACTAAAAATAAAAACGTACCATTGGTGCTTTATATCCTATATTGAAGCCAATTGCATTCCCTTCATTCTATAATGATCGTTTGAAAATAAAGATCCGCAGGTCTCTCAATTGTTATTAAACGTTCAGTTTCCCTTGTCGTTCTCAACGTTTGTTCGAAGAACATTATTATACTTGATTTATTTGCACGTAACGAATAAGAAATGATCAGGGACTTTTAATAACACACGACCCGATATGTCTATCTATAAACACCATTTTTAAACTACTGTTTCTCCTTCTTTTTCTTCTTCTTCTTTTCTCTTCAATATAGATTTTGTAATAGAACACCAACAACAATAGTACTTTTAAATAACGATATCTATCATTTTGGTTTTGTAAACTTATATTTACAATATATTTCTTATTTTATCATTATCCATGCATTGTTGTATATTTCATGCCGAGACTACATATTGCAATAAATTATAGTTATCCATGTGAAGTACGCGACACTAAAGCAACGATGTATAAAAGATACACAAAGCATTCGACTTCGTAATTTTCGAACTCTCGTGTACTTTCCGTTTTCTCGGGTGAACAATGCGACGCTGACACTGTGCGAGCTTTGTCTTTCGTCGCTGACGCGGCCCCAAAAAGTAAGAGCGAAGGAGAACCTCTTGAAGACGTCACGACAATTTTAATAAAATCTTTTGCTACGTTTTCTACGTTTTCCATATGTCGTTGATAAGAGCGTATTTTTCATTTACATCCCTCTTACGTCAAGCTTACATAAGGGCAAAGTATGCGAACTATTCCACGTTAACAATTTCAAATATCATCGAAGACATGTCGTAACAACGTTCCGTTCTCTTTTTGTCTATTCAATATGTAGTCGACAACTGGATCCCGAACCGATCGCGTGCGACGCTTGTGGATCGTGGAGCGTTTATTCGAAGCCACTCGAGCCGCTTGCCAATTCCATATTCGGGGCCCGAGACCCACGGGAATCTCTCGAGATCTCGAACAGCGAAACGTACCGGGATCCCGCCCGATCCCGCCCGAATTTCTTCGACCCGTTCCGATCCCCGTAGCATCGGGTACCCGCCGCACGCCTGCCAAGAAGACATGACCCCGGTGCCACGACGGTACTCGATAGGAACGGGACTTGCTAGTGGCTCGTCCGGGATCGTCGTCGAGACGTCGCCGGTCTACGCACAGAGAGCCACATTGTTGGCCTTCCGCGAAGACTGGGAGATGAGTTACGACTGAAGTGACCGGGGGGGAATAGATTGCGCGAAGAAGCTGTTCTCGCGAAAGGAAAACATTTCCAGTCGCGGCCGAGGAGACAGAAGGCGACGAGGAAGCAGGGGATAATTTGGCGGCGAGCAAGAAACCTGAAGGATTCTTCAGAGGAGTGCAGGATTTTTAGTTCAATGGGAAAGTGATGCGGCAGGAAGTGGACGTCGCGAATGACTCTACGATCAGCGAACGGATCGACGCTTAAAATTGCTCAAGTCCTCGGCATCGGTCGGCCAGGTGCTCGTCGAAGTGGTCGAACGCCGGCTCCGGTACATCCTTCTCCAGGCCTGATGTACGACGGACGATTGTGCCTTGACACACCGGTGCCTTTGAGCTCTCCCAGCCGGGTAGAGTGTGCCAGTAAAAACCACGTGATAGTTTAACGTTTAAATGATAAACCGCGCTCGCACGGGCACGCGCGCGTGTGTAACACTTTTGTATGCGTAGATTAAATAAAATATACACGCTTGTGCGCGCACGCGTGTGCTAGCGCGTCCGAGGATCCGCGATCGACCGGGACGACCGGAAGTCTCCCGGCGCTCGGTAATGGCCAGTGTTTCGTAGATCCTTTCGCATCTTATTTATATCGAGCCGTCTAATTTAACGAGAGCGAGGGGCACACTCGCGATCGGTGATACCGTTGCGGGCGCGCGCTAGATACCGATCTTGCCGGCGCGATACGCCGGGGAAGGGAGGTAGGGAGAGAAGCGTCTTCTTTTTGTTTCCTCTCGAAAATCGTAATACGGGACGCGAGCGTACGGTTTCTACAAATATTTTCTTACGCGGCCGAGAGACCGGTAGAAAACGATCGAAGAGGGGAAAAAGGAAGGAGAACCGGGAGAGGAGGCGGAGAGAGGCGGCGATCGCGATCGGCCGATACGCGCGCGAGCCCGCCGAGCGTTCGGCGAAGATACGAAGTAAAATAAAGAATATTGTATAGCCAATATGTGGCGCCTTGATCGTCGTTCATTAAATCTCTCCTCGATCATCGTTTCCCTTACGCGAGCGTCCGTAATCACGTACCTCGAACTCGAGATGGTATTCGATTACTTTCGTCTCGCGCGTCTTTCGCATTCCAAGCCGTCGGCGCGAGCGCGCCGCGGTACCCGAGCTAACGCACACGCGAGAGAGAGAAAGAGAGAGCCTCACCCTGTCTATCGGATTATTTATTCGATAATAAATTTGTCCGTATGATGCACTGCGCGAAAACGCGGCGTTTCCACGACGAATTCCGTCGTGACGTCCGGAGAAACCGCGCGCCGATAGCCGCGCTTGAACGGCCGCTAATAAGCCGACCTTAGGTTACCGCGGAACCGTTTCGTCGAAACTGGTCGAGCCGTTTCCACACGCAGAAGGGACAAGGCAATTTGAAGGAACACCTTGGACGTGTGTGTGTGTGTGTGTGCTTGCTCCATGGAGGATCGAGCGATAGGGAATACGAACGAGGACGTCCTTGGGATGAAGCTTTTACTGCTAATTGCGCTGGTCTCCTATCGGCAGAATTTCTCGGTACTCGGTCAACGGACTAAACCCTGGCAGGAAGTATCCGATCGGTGCTGTAAATGTGGTTGCTCAAAAAAATTATTCGAGTCATTACTGGAAAACCAAGAACAGTATTGTACGCAATATATCATGTAATAACTTCTATAAACAAATTTAAATAGCTTGACGATGTATAACACTTTTTCACCCAGCAACGTTTCTTACAGCTCGGGGATAATTTAACCCTTTCTTAAATCACCGCGTGCTCGAGAATTCGGTGTTCCACGAGAGAACAACACGTTCGTTTTCATAGTAACGCTTTACAGCAGGCGTCGACGACGCTTCTTGGCTGCGAGTTAAAATCAACCAAAATGTGACTATTAAGATGACTATTAAGAATTAATTTTATTGAAAAAATAATTACAAAACGCTTTTAAACTTTAAACATAAAGATTCAAAATTTTAATTCCATTTGTTATGAGAACAAATGCAATTGATAAATTGCCAAATGGGTCACTTTACGACCCGCGGGTCATAGATTGTCGACGCCACCGTTTTATCATTGCATTTACCTAAATCGATGATGAGAATAATAATAATCGACGTTAAAAAGATGAACATTCGTAACGATAGGCGGTTGATCTCTACGATCGTTTACTTTTTGTCAGCGGAAACTTTCGTTTCGCAGAAAGATCCGTCGACTAATGATATTATATCTCTAATATGTCTTCATCACTTTTTTTTCCCCCGGGAGGTTTATGGACGATTCGTCACAAGAACCTCCCGTTAGAAAAAGAACAGGAAGAAACGGAGAAAGAAACCGTTCCCTGGAGGCGCTACAGCTGACAAGAGGGACGTTCTTGCTTCGATTTATTATCATTTCTCTTCTGTCGATCTATAAATGCCGTGTGTAAATCTTGACCTGTCTTTGCAGCCGCGTTACGCCGGTGATTTACGCATCGAGGGGACAAAAATCGTAAAGTCATAATGATCTTCTTCGACGGGCTTTCATTGCGAGCTCCTCGGTGTACAGTTTGCCGGAGACTTCGATGACCGCGTAGGCGCGATAACGCGGCTCGAAAACAGTGTTCAGGGTGAACCACTTTTCATTTATTTCAAACGGCTTCTGGACAATTAGGGTCGATACACATCTACGTGCTAGGCACGGGTCGTGCTGGCAGCGTGCACGATTGAGAGTGTTCACATTAGATGTGCGAGCATGGTGAACTATGACCACCATATCTCTGACCATTCGGTGGTGTCTGACGAGCAAATTTCCTTCACGTAAGAAAAAAGAAACGGGCTATGTCAGGGTTATGCCAAAGTTATGCCAAGGTTATACCAAAGTTATGCCAAAGTTATGCGAAAATTATGCCAAAGTGTCAGGGTTATGTCAGGGTTATGCCAAAGTTATGCGAAAATTATGCCAAAGTTATGTCAGGGTTATGCCAAAGTTACGCCAAAATTATGTCAGGGTTATGGTAAAGTTATGTTTCTACGTTCATTTGAAAGCTTAAAAAAAAATTTATGTATTTATGGTTTTATTTGTTTGTAGTTGAAAGCTTAAAGAAAAATATTTATGTTTACGTGTGTCTACATTTACTGGAATGCTTAAAGAAGAAAGTGTATGTTTATTGCGTGTCTACATTTAATTAAATGCTTGAATATTGTGTTATGCCAAAGTTATGCCAAAGTTATGTCAGGGTTATGTCACAGTTATGCCAAAGTTATGTCAAGGTTATGTCTGATTTAGAAATTTGCAACATTTGTTGCCCACATATGGTCACGAGAAGTCGAGCCACTATCTAGCCTTCATAGATTCGTTCTTTTTGCATGCTTTGTCAAGTCGAAATGTTTTCTCGATGTTATTGCCTGCTGTTTACATCCCTCTGTTTGCGTCGTACTAGTTCCGTAGTTCCGTCTCGCTTTGTTTTGATTACGGGCGATGCAAGCCTAGTCCGGGCCTGCCTGCAAGTTTAGTGCCGGGTGGCCGGGCACGCTGCGAGCACGGCTCGCGTAGTCATTAAACACACACCAATGTAAGTCAAATGTGAGAATAATTCGGCCTTGCTCGGCCTTGGAGCACGGCCCGAGCCTGGCACGTAGATGTGAATCGACCCTTACTTTTTAAGAAAAATCTTTTGTTGCAGGTTCGGTTGTACCGAAATAGGACTTCTCGAATGATTAAACGAACTTCTTTCATACTTTTCAGCAATTCCAAGCAATGCCGATAGAAGAAACATATTCGCATATGATTACGTTAATTTTTAATTCCTGGACAGATTTACTTTGCGATTTGTTCAATTTTAAATGGCTTCGGTATCGAGAAAGAAAGGTTAGTTCGCGAATAGGGAAAAGGTGTTTGCTCGTTGATCTTCTCTTTCTTGTTAATTCAATGCATAATTCTTTTACTTTACTGTGTCACTGTCTCCACAGTATCTGTTGTAGATTTCAAACCGGACACAATTATAACCAAATATGCAGTGCTCTATTTTCTTCAACGAACTGTTAACACGCTCGGCATAAATAACGGGTGTGTGATCGTAACCTGAAGCGCTGACTCAGAATTTTTATTTTGCTAAATTAGCCGAAACACACTACGTCATTTATTGGCGTCACCGTAACCCACTTCCGAATAGAAAATTAACGATTGTATTTACGATCGTTCATGAAAACGTTCGTTCCCGGAACGACTTTTCCTGTTATCGCGTGGCATCTCGACGTAACGAGAACAAATCGTGAACCTGCTCTCGAAAGTATCCACGGGTTCCGCAACAGGACACAGGATTCACGAGAAGTGACACAATCGGCCGCGTTCACCTGCGTGCACCTGCGTGTATTCACGGCACACTCCCGGTGCCCGTAACCCCGGACGTTAAAACGTCTGGGCCCACTGTTATGTTGACTTAGGTGGGACGAGGAAGGGAGGACCCGGCCACTCGATGTCCGGCGAACGAGCTCTAGTGGCTTCTCGTGGGCCCGACGTTTCAGGTTTCCGAGGTTCTGGGTCCACGTGTCCCGCCGGAAAAAAGCGCTGCCAACGCACCGACAACGATGACGTGTGCACCCGCGCGAACCTCTTCCACAGGCGGATCGTGTTCCTGGATTACGTAACGTTGCCAAACAGCTGCACCATTTGGAGGGTTGATCCGAGTACTCGCCAAAATGCTTTCTTCCTGTCGCGAGGCGTGTTTGCCTAGTGCTCGTTCAACACGAATGTTAATCTCCCGGGAAACATCGTCGGAATCCGCGTGGACATCTTTGACGAATTGCACACAAAGCCTGCGCCACTTGTGCAACTTTCGTTTCGCTGATTTTCGATCATTTGTTTCCCGCCGCGGGTTTTTCTCGCGAGGTGTCGATTCATACGGTAGACCTCCTGTTGGCGAGATTGATTATGCGACAGAGATAAGTCTTCGTGTGTAGAGTGTTCTTCGAGGATACGTGTAAGCGAGCGCCACGTGATTCCTCATGAAAAAAATATGAAAAAACTACGGAACAACTCTTTTCTTATTGCTGCTCAGTTTTCGAGAAAATCGAGTTTCAAAATTACGCCTAAATATGAGCCGTTTATTTTGAAAGTGGCATAAGTCACTTGATCGTAATGTGAAAAGTGGTGATCTTTTAATGTTTATACGAAATTATTTATACTGAGAAAAATATCAGTATCCTGAGATAACAAATACAAGTAAATCTTCTCGAAAGTTAGCATTCATATTTTTAAACGTGTTAAAACGCAAACCCTTAAAAACAAAGTGACTTATGCCACTTTCAAAATAAACGGCTCAT